CAGCAGGAGCCTGGCACATGGCATGGGTACAGTGACCTTCAGGTGAGCTGTCCTCCAGCCCAGCCCAGCAGCCTGAGCCTGGGGGTGAGCAAGCCAGCCTTGGCTCTTTCCTGGCAGCTAAGCCCTGAGGCACTTGATGGTCGAGGGTACAGTGTTTGCAGGATGGCCGAGAGGTGCTGCTGGAGGTGCCCCACCAGTGTAGGGTTGGCATCTCTTCACCTCCCTGGGATGTCCTCTCTTCCCCACCACTTTGGCATTCCCTCCTTCCTGTCCTCGCTGCCCTCCTCTTCACCAGAAGCAGCCAGGATGCCAGGGGAGGCCAGCTGTGCTGTGCTGTGCAACACCTCCAGCAAGACAAGTTGTACAGATGTCCGTCCACTGTTCCTCCCCACCCCTTCCCCTCCAGCAACACTGTGGTTGTATTAATTACATGGTTAAGCTGTCTGTTCCTTAAAAATGGAAGATCCCTCTTAGGGGAATATCTGGTTCTTCTCTCCTGGAGAGCATCTCCCCTTGGTGCTTCCAGTGGAGGAGGTATAGGGCTGCCCAGAGGCGCTGTGGACATCTCAGGGTCAGCTTGTCTTCCCCCCCCATCCAGGATTACAGCTTGGCTATTGCACATCTATGCCCACCCTGGGGACTGGTCCTGGGGTTACAGCTGAGGTTCTGCTGGAAAGTGACCAGCCAAAGAGAAGTGGAGGGTCAATGACAGCTAAGATGCTGGGGAAGTGGGGCTCCCTATTTTGATGTGCCCTAGCTTTCCTTTGTCTTTGGATTTACCTCTGCAGCCCTGCAAGCCCCAGGCTCCCATCTGGTGGGGGAAAAAAAAAAAAAGTAATTCTTTTTTGGTGAGGCACTTAGAAGTAGTAGGGACTGTCCTGGAAAAACTTATGAACAATTGAGTTACAAACAACACAAACTGGAGCTGCAGAGGAAGGTTTCCCTACCCCAAGACCCTTTCTCCACCCCACGCTGACATGTGGGAGTCATTAAACCCTGCCACTGGGTTGGGCAGGGGAGCCAAGCTCGCCCCCAAGCTGGGGAGCTGCAGCCAAGCACCTGGAGCAGGGGCTGCTGGCTGGGAGTCACCCCCACTTTGCCCCTTTGGAGCAAAGCCAGGGTGCAGCATTCCTGCCTGGATCCCTTCCCATGCAGGGCATGGAGATGCTCCGAGTCCAGCTCAGGTGCCCTTTTTGGCTGTTGTTGAAGGGATCCCGATGGATTTGTATCTGTTTGATCAGCTGCCTGCATGGCGGGGGGCAGTCTGTGCACCCTGCATGGGACAAGGGGAGCGGGTGCCCCCTGCGCTCCTGCCTTCCCCATGTTTCCGCACATTGCAACCTCTTCTAGCAGGCTGGGGGGGTAGGGGAGGTTGACATTGGTCTCATCCCTCCAGTTTCTGCACTTGCTTTGCTATATTTTGGTGTGGGCTTTTTTCCTTTTGCAGTTTTGCCTGGGCTGTGGCGGGGAAGGAAGCAGCAGCTGAAGCAATCAGAGAGTTACGGTGTGCAGGCTAACAAATGTGGATCATTAGCTGGAACAAGTTAATGGTTACTGAAGCACATGGGGTTTAGAGCTGGAACAAGTTAACAGCAACTGAGTCTGATGCATTAAGAGCTTATGCGTATTACAGTTCAACTATGTTAACAGAAAACATGTGCCCTAGCACCAGCGTTTACCAGAGAGCACCAGAGGGTATGGAAGTGTGTCTGTTCATCTCTCCAGGGGACCTCTCCATACCATTCCTGTGGGGGCCCTGCTCCTGTACCCACTGCTGTGCTCTATCTGAGCAGCTCCCAGATGACCTGGCTGCAGCAGAGGTCTCAGGGGTACCCTCCTCCTCAGGTAAGGGTGTCTCGCCACTGGCTGGGCTCCTTGCAGCAAGCACCACCTGTCAAGGGTCAGCCCTTGGACCTGCGTGCTTGGACAGTCTCCAGTGTGAAGACAGCCCCAGCTGCCGTGCTGGGGCATGTTGGTGGTGCTAACAAGATGCCCCATCTTCTCCACTGCAAGACCTGTGGGGTTCATCCATGTGGGAGGCAGGGCAGTTCTTCCTGGGGGGCAGGCAGGGAGGAGAAACTGAGCTGTGGTGGACCTCCCTGAGAGCCTTCTCCAAGTATGGCATTGGAGACCTGTATTCCTGGCCTTGTCACAGGCTACTTGAGAGGCCTGGAGGAGGTCATTTTCTTTGTCTACAAAAAATGAGGGGTTTACAGTACTTGTTTCATTGTTAAAGGGAGAAGGTATTTATTTATGGTAGAGAAGCACCTGTGTGTGACACTGAGGAGGGCAACAGCCAGGCATGGTGAGAGGTGAATAGCCACCAGGCTCCTACTTGTTCTTGTGTCGCAAGTGACCTGGGGATTTGGCTGAGGATGCCATGGGCAAGTTACTCATTGGTGTGCCCACAGGAGAGCCAGCTATGGTGAGAGGGGCCGGACTGTGTGGATGGGGACATGTGGTATGGAGCACTGATGGCAGCCTGGCCAGCTGCCCTAGTTTTGGTGTTGCACAAAGTCAACTATGCTGTGTCCTTGCTTCTCGCGGTGCTGCATGCTGCTGCTTCTCCATGCTGTGGTGTCTTCTGCTCCGAGTCTGGCTCTGCCTCAAGGGCATCTGAGTCACCGACCTTGGAAAGAGTTTTGAGATTACAGTTGTCACAATTGTGAGACATGAAAATAAATGAAACATGAGGAGTCTTTGATGCTGCCTCCTGCAGCTCCCTACTCAAGACAGTTGGGATGAAGCTAATTAGAAAGGAGAGTGATTCCATATGATCTAAAGTATTTTGATAACTGTGTGAAAATTACAATCGTGAGGGCATAATAATTATCTGCACAGCCCACAGTTTGTTGCTGGCTCCTGCTGGTCTGTCTTAAACAGGATCTGCCCACGCAAGCGTGATAACTGTGTTCTCTGTTCCACAGTCATTTTCAGAGCTTTCCCAAAAACTAAAGGGAGATGCTTGTGTCTTTATTTTTAAAAAATCAAAACCAGCACTCAACGTATGAGTTGATCCTGAGGTGGACCAGTGAGTAGAGCGGTTGGGAGATCATGGTCCTGCTCTTGGCTTGTGCCACAGCCCCTTTGCGGGCAGGAGTGTAACCCAGGGCAGAAGATGAGGGAGGCAGCTGGAGGCATCCACTGCCTTAAATTACCTCTGGCAGATGTCCCAGAGCTCACCTGTCAAAACCCTGTGTGGTGGCTCCTGCTAAACCACTTGCCTGTAAGTCTAAAAGCGTTACGTCTGATCGACGGGATTGTGGCTTGGGAGGTCTTGAAGACAGTAACAGGCACTGGGTGGCATCTTTGCCTTCCCCATTTTCTTGTAGGTACCCACCCAGCTCTTGAAACCTCTGGAAGCATGGTGTGCTTTGGCACAGTTCTGGGAAATCCGTTAAGCGGGTGATGAGCTGGTGGGTAACAGAGGTCACTTGCCTGATGTGTGTCCAGTGGATTTGCCATCTGAAAGACGGTGCCAGTAGATGGGTTATTAGCTAGGAGTATCAAACTACAGCCCTTGGGAGGCTAAGGTGGTCTCAGCCAGCTGGGCTAAAAAATCCCTTTCTTTGGTCATGTCTGTGGTGGGGTCATCAAGGAGACAGCATGCCCAGCACTATGGGAGGGAGGCAGAGTGGCACGCTGCATTTGTTCCTGTTGATTATCCTGCTGTTTAACCCTCCTTTATGTTAAAGAAACTTAACAGTGTTACTTGTTAGCACTGGAAGAATCTCCCCTTTCTCCCACTTGCACCAGCAAAAACTGCCCTGAATCTTCCTGCAAACTACAGCCCTAGAGCTGCGCCAAGACAGGCTGAGCTTCCTTCTGAAGCAGCCAACCAGTGTCCCTCTGCTTCTATAGCTTTATAATAAATTCCTGCTCTGGAGTTTCTCCTGCCCGGTTTCAGTCCAGAGATAAATTGTTTTGGAAAGCTTTCTCCAGATCTTTGCAGCTCACTTAGGTGAATATGGAGGGAATAGTTTTATGGTAAAAAAAAAAAAAAAAGAGAGAGAACATTCTGATTTGTTTTGTACTTGGCTAATTCATGAGTGGGCAAGTGTGCAACAAACTGCAGAGCAGATTTTAAAATAATGTTGGAGAGAGCTTGGGAGAAAGAGCAGAAAGATGCTTGTGTAGACTCAGCTCTATTCAGGAAAAGATCAGTAGTTCTTCTGGTGGGTTCTTGTTTCAGTACAGCATGGTAAAACTGTTCAAAGGAAACTAACACAAGCAATTATGATTAAGCAACAAAACCCACCGTTTGTTATAATTATAGCCCAGTACAATACTAGTCTTTAGCAAATATATAATTTTCATCACTGCAGTGTTAACAAGCCCAAAGCACAGCCTGGACGTTGCCTCTGGTCTGACTCCCATGTGCACAGGTTTCTTCAGTTCAAGCTGAATGAGTTTGTACACTCACTAATTGCCTTGGGATAGGTGTGGGTGGATGCTGCCATCTTCTGAGCTCGTCCTATGCCAGGGACTCCCTTGATTTGCTCAGCTGATGCATGGGCTGATGCAGAGACTCCAGCAGTGTTTTACTCCCTGAGGAGTTCTCTCAAGTGTACCTGGCGCGGGTTTAGCCCTGTGAGGAAGAGCAGCTCTGCTCAGCGTTGTACTTGGTTACAAAGAGCGCTGCCAGTGGGTTCACTGGTAACTTGCAGTGATGCTGAGGAATGCGGTGGAGGGACATTACCTGTGGTTGTGGTACCAGCACAGTGGTGTCCCTGATTGCCAAAGGGAAGCACAGCACAGGGACTAGTCTGTTCATGTTTTCAGGTTTTAAACTGCTATAGGATCTGAGATGTCATATCTCTAATGATTTTTATGGGAGAGCTGCAGCACATGAATGTCAGTCATTTGCTTTCGTAACTCAGGTTAATTTGGAGTCTTAAGAGAAGTTTATAGCAAAATTGCAGATTTTAAGATCAGCAGAAATCATTAGATACTTGAATTTCTTCCCTAGTACAGATGTGGTACATATGTGTTGAGCCCAGGGATGTGGGTTTGACTGTCTCCACAAGAGATATTGTTACTTTCCATGTTAGATTGTTCCTGTAGTTAATCACCTACGGCGTTAAAAGCATGATCCTTATTCCTCAGTTGAATTATCGTCTGGCTTTGATTCAGACACATTGGTTCATATTATGTGTTTCTGTTCTGGCTTAGAGAGTTTCTGGTGCCTGATGGATTATTGATTTAAAGAACTGGGAAATCAAGTCATTACTTTCTCTTTTTAATGTGACAAACAAACTGAGTTGTACAAGTCGTTCACTGGTAAAGTCTTTCCATCCCTTTGAAATGGTTATGCAGCTGCTATCTTCGCCAGCTTCACATTTCTGAGCAATTTTAATAGAATCACATGGACTAGAAATGGGAAAATATCAGCCTTTAGTCTCTAGAGAAATGATGTGTGACCTTTCCCCACACCTTTTCCATACATTCTGTTGCCCATGTTATGTATAATACAAAGTAGGCACAACGCCGGGGTGAATCGCTGACAGGTTCCTTCCCCTTCCTAAAATCTCTGCTGAGCTTGTGCCCCAAGGTGTGGGGTCAGTCCTACATGCAGGAGAGCCTGGACTATGTAGGAAGGGCTCCTGGGCTGGTGGGGAGGCAGGTGTGATCCTGCTTACAGCCTTCACTCTAAACAGGGTCTTCATGAACAGAAAGTGCATGCTCTTTCCTGGAGTGCTGCCCCAGAGTTTCTCTCAGGTTCCTGCCCTGGAAAGCCTTATTCCCAGACAGGCAGGATGTCCCAGGTGTATGCAGGAGGCGCTGTGGCAATTCTCCCTTCGGTTTTTTTCCTTTGCTTGGTGCTGGCTGGTCACAGGAGAGGGCTGGAGCTTGGCTGTGAAATACTGATGGCTTCCTGGCACTGCACTCTGCCTCTGTGGTTTGGTGGCACTTGTCCTTCCCTGGTGGCAGAAGGAGAAAGGCGCTGCTGACGACCAGCTCTACGATGGTTTGCAGCCTCTCTGCTGTGCTTCATGGAGAGTGAGGGAGTAGAGTTTTCACTATGGAGAGGCTAGCTCTTCTCTTCCCTTAGCTGATTTATTGCAGTGGCTTAGCTCCGGGCCTGACGGCTTTATCCAGCTGTTCGCTGGGCAGGGCAGAGGAGAGAGTGGGTGTCACATGGCAGGACTGCGACCCTCAAGGGCAGTTGCCTGCATGGCTGGCAGGAGACTCTTGGTGACATGAAAAAGACACATCTGCCTGTCAGGATCACACTGCCATGAATGCTCTGATGGAGAGGGAGCACTGGGCCTCACAGGACCTTGCTAAAATCCATGGCTTGATCACCTGGAGCAGGGCACTGAGCAGGACCTTGCTCAGGAGAGACATCTTCTGATGCAGGGACAAATTTTAACCCAACAAAGCCTCAGAGTGATACAGACATTAACAGAATGAGAAGGGCTCGGTGGTACGGTGCAGTGACTGTCACTGAAGGATTCTGGGCCATACAGGGTGGACACCCCAGGGTCTTTGCACTGCCGGAGGATTTGGGAGCCGAGGAAGTTCTGTTCGCCCTGTAATTCTCTTGCAGCCAATTCCTCTAGAGCAGTTTTATATTTTCCCTGTGGGAACAGTACTCTGAATTTCTTGGGCTTGTTTGGGCGTAAAATCTGAATTAGGCACTGAGTGTAAGTTTGGAGACCGAGTTTGTTCCTGGCTTGCTTGCTCTTATGTCCTTGGGTGAGTTTGGATCTTGTTGCTAGAAGAGACCTTGCTTTTCAAGTGTATTAAATTTGGGTTGTCTGTGAAATAAGCTTACTCAGCCCTGATAAGCTCATTGCAGATTAAGCAGGAGCGCCAGCCTTGCAGGGCTGTTGGCAGCAGCAGGAGTTGCGTTGGGCACACGCAGCTGGCAGCAAATCCAACATCGGCAGGTGGTGTTGTGCAGCCAGCACCAGGACTCAGCCAGGTTGCCTGCTGAGTCCCCCTTGCTGTTTCTGCTCTGCCTGGGCTCCTCCATGCTCCCTGCCCTGCTCCAAGGCACAGGAGGAGATCTAGCAAGGGGCTGAAGCACCAAAAGACAGGCAGGGGCAAAGCCGGGCATCCTTCCCATGGATGCTTCTCAGAACCTTTGTGGTTTTGGACAGGGGCAGAGGGAGCCGGGAAGGGAAGTTGCAGGCAGAGGAGTCTGTCTGTGCCCACGTTTGCTGCCAGCAGTGCTACAGGAGCCCTCCTGGCCAGGGTGAGCCCCAGACACTCTTGCCAGGCAGTACAAGCTCCCTGTTCCCCACAGCCCTCTCTCCTCCGAGCCCATCTGGTGAAGTCTGTCACTGGCCCTTCCCTGGGTCCACCCCGCTCTGGGCAGCAGCCAAGGGACCAACAGAGTCCCTGCTGCTCTTTTCCCTCCCCCGGGGATGGGGGGGTCACGGGCTTTGATGTGCGGGTACGGGGCTGGGGACAGGCTGTGTGCGCTCATGAGAGCCTGGCCAGGCTCCAGCTGCCTTTGAAGTGCTCCAGTGATCAGGATGAAAGGGAGGGGGGAGTCCTACCCCAAACCATCTGGCTCTAATTGCAGGTAGAAATGCCTCTCTGCATCCCCCTGTGGGGAGGGGGCACACTGCTCTTCATTAATCCCGCAGCTCTCGGCTGGGCTGGCGCGAAGCACTAGAGCTTGGGAACAAAAGGGGATTTCAGCTGGGCAGCCAGAAATAGGCAGCCGCTGGTGGAGATGCTGGGGGTTTGGGCACCTCCGCTCCCAGCCTCGAGCTGCGGGGCCCCACAGACCTTCCTGGGGACAACCCGTGCTGCAGGGAGGGCTTTGCCAGTTGTTCCCATCTCCGGTTTCTCGGGCGCACTGGAGCCTCCTGGCCCTTTGACGCATGCTTTTTTGTGCCGGCGCGCGCCAAACGCGGGGATGAGGAACGTGGGAACTCAGCGCGAGCCCGGCCATTTGGCAGGGTTTGCTGGCCACCTCCCTGTGCCCCCAGCCAGCCGGTGCTGCCGCCCTGACGAGGCTCCCTGCCTGCTCCCCCTGCACCTCCTGGGCAGGGCTGGCTGTGCCACCACAGTGGCAGCGATGGTTAGAGCCATTGGCAGCACTGGCAAGTAAGTTTTGTTGTCCTGTTCAGCTGTGCATCTCCCCTTACCTGGGGAGATAAAGGTAGCTGGGTTACATCTACCAGCAGTTTCTTTCCCTCCTTGTGGTAGTCTTTGGGCAGCAGCTGAAATTTCAATTAAACCTGTTGCTTGAAGTCATCTGCCCTAATATTGACAGCACAGAACAATTTATTTAGGTGAGGTTTTACCCCTTGTCATGAAGACCTTTTTATAAACTTCTTATCTAAATATATAAAATTATTAAATGTGAGCTCTGGTGACTCTGTGACCAGAAGCAGCCTTTGCCGTTACCCATCTCCAGGGACCAAACAATGGTGAAAAAGGGAGAGTGAGAAGTGGAAAGCCAGGTGAGATGAGTGATGGGACGGCAGAGGGGTGCAGAGAAGGTGGTCGTGAGGAAGCACCAGCTTGAGTAGACCTGTAGGCTGTCATGTGCTGTGGAGCCGAGTCCTGGCACAGCACAGGCCACTGGGTATTAACTTGATTAATTAACAGGTTAATTGCTGCCCTGATGCAGCAGTTAGGTGGGATGGAGGAGCCGTTTGGTGCAGGAGACCAGACCCTCCTTTGCTGGGCAGCAGTTTGTTCCCTGAGCAGCCACCCTCAGGAGATGTTCTCACTGCTTCTTTTCCCTCTCCAGGTCTCTGCCTCATCTGACCCCCGTTCAGCAGGGGACGAGGAGCTGCTGCCATCAGGCAAGGCGCAGGGGCTGAGGCGGAGCGGGCAGGCTGGCCTGCGGCGGCACAGGCGCCGTGGGATGTCTCAGCAGGCTGTCAGAAGCCCAGCAGTGCCCCAGCCCGGTGGCACTGGTGAGGAGGAGAGCCTGCCCTTCATGCTGGACCTGCAGAGCTTGCCAGGGCTGGCCAACGTAGACCTGAGCGCCCAAAACCCCAACATCCAGGTGGGGAGCAGGTCTGGGTGGGCCGCAGGGGGATGCAGGTGAGCACCACATGTGCTCCCCAGCCTTATTTTGTTCCCTAAGAGGAAAGATCTCATGAGCGGGATCCATGTGGCCGCTGCCATCTGTCTTCTTGGTAATGACCAGATGCAAATAGCTGGCACAGACAACTCCTTGCCAGAGGAATTTGCTCATGGCCTTTTCCCTGCCCCCCCACAGCCCCTCCCCGTAGAGCAGGAGCAAACATAGGAATCTGTGGGGGTGACCTCTCAGTTTCTGAGGGCAGTGTTGGTTCCTGTGGGTGACCACCAGCCTCCCTGCACCTCCCACTCTGCCCCTGCTCCATCCCTCCAGTTGAGGCAAGACCTCTTGCCCTCATCACATGGTCCTGTAGCCCAAATCATATCTGGCCTTCTGGGCTGGGAGCCAGTGCATGGTCCCAGGGCTGTGTCCCAGCTCACTGCCCTGCCTCATATTTGGCCTCCAGGTGACCATCGAAGTGGTGGATGATCCTCAGGCTGAGATGGAGATGGACTTGTTGAAGGAGACAAGCAATGACTGGTCCCTGACATCCTCTGAGTGGTTGTCCCACAAGGACCTTTTCTGGCCCCTCTTCTGGGAATACACTGACCCTGCTGAGGAGGAGGAGGAGGAGGAGGAGGTGGAAGAAGAAGAGGATGACAACCTGGATGTAGGGGACAGGGAGGAGGAAGAGGAGGAGGAGGAAGAAGATTACACAGCAGAGTATGAGGAGGAGGAGTCCATGCTCAGTGGAGTGGGAGGTGACTGGGACCAGCGATGGCCTGGGCAGAAGAACTGGATCTTTAAGGAAAAATATAATTACGGTGAGTCTTGGACAAACACAGCTGCCCTGCAGACCGGCACTGCCCTCCCCTGCCCTGCCTGACCTGAAGCCCTGTCTTGCTGCAGGGGAAGCAGCTCTGCACCAGGGATCACAGCATGCTGGTGCTCAGCTCCTACCTAAAAAATAGGCAAGCATGCCAAGGAGGAAGCCTGGCACCCAGCTGGGGCTGCCAGCAGTCAGACATGCCAGCGTCTCAGCGGGAATTGCCCTTTCATGTAATCACACTGGAGCATGGACTCTAGCAAAGGCATGCTCAGATGAGAAATACAGTGTAAATGTTTAATGGCAAGTGCTGCTGCCGTCAGCACGGGTCCCTGCAGTGACACTGGTGCCAGAAGCCTTTGCCACAGACATGGGCATCTCCCAGGACAGGAGCTGCAGATGGCTAGACAGCAGGTGCTGATGGGCAGACAGGCCAGGACACCACAACAGTTCCCTCCTGCAGCTTCCTGGCCACGAGCCGAAAACCAAAACTGGCCAGTCAACCTTTGCGAACACATGATGTTTCAGCATCATGGCCAGTGCATTGGGCAGGTTCAGTGAGGGTGGGGATGGGCAGCGATGCCTGTCTGGGTCAGTACAACCATGAGCACAGCTGTGAGAATGAGAGCCTTTGCTCGGGGGCTGCTTCCCTAGGGTTGCCAGCGAGGACAGGGTTGGCCCTTGGCATCATGTGACTGGGCACCTCCGTGTGCCCTGGGCAGCTCGGGCCCTGTGTCCCTGTGAAGGGCATCCTAGGGACAGGGCAGAGTTGAGGGAGGTTCTGAGTGGCTGCTGGCTCCACTCCTGAGGCTTTGCTGAAGTCCACCGCTCTCTGCCTCTCCCCTGCTGTGCACAGACTATGAAGATGAGGAGGAGTGGAGCCCATGGTCCCCTTGCAGCATCACCTGTGGCAGTGGCAACCAGAAGAGGACTCGGTCCTGTGGCTACGCCTGCACAGCAACGGAGTCAAGGACCTGTGACCTGCCGCGCTGCCCTGGTGAGCCCTCGGCCATATCAGTGCTTGGGCACTGTCTGACCCTGATGTGGGCTGGTCCCCCACCACTGTGGGCTGGGCATTGCTCATGCTGCAAGAACTAGTTATGTTTAACGTGATCTGCCCTAATGACTGGGGGGGTTTGTTTCCACAAAAAACCTCTGATGGTGCTTCATGGCTCCACAGGCAGTTACATGGTGCCCAAGGGTGGTAGAGCTGGCATCCAGCTCGGTGTGCAACTCCTTGCACCTCTTTCACACTGGGAGCCTGAGATCCTCTCTTGAGGCATACTGAGAGCTGGCTCCATCCACTGGGATTTGCATAGCCCTCCGTGTCCTGCTGCTGGCCTGCCCTTTCAGGCACAGGCCTGTGTCGCCAAAGCTGTGGTGGGAGAGAGGGGGTGGAAGATGGATGGTGTCTGGTGCCCTTATGGAGGGAAAAAACTCACCACTCCTCCTGGTGTTCAACCTGGCTCCTTTTTTTTTTTTTTCTTATTTTCCCTTTCAAGGAGCAGAGGGGGAAATGGTCTTCCCCACAGAGGAGACACCTTTCAAAAATGACAACACCACAGAGCTGTTCAACTCAGGTCAGCCTCTGCCTTGCACTGGGGTCTTCAGTGCCAGCCCCCACGGGGGTTGTAGCTGGCTGGTGGGGAGAGCTCTGCCAAGGGCTCCAACATCTGATATCCAGACCTGTCACCCAAACCACTGCCATGTGCAGGCTTCAGCACTCATGCTGGGAAACCCAGTTCCTCCCAGCCCTGGTACAACATGGTCCTGCTTTATGGTGCAGTGGCTGAGGCCAGCCCACCACGTGGCTTCTCCCATGTGGGGATGCTGCCATCCTGGCTGACGTAGCAATGGGTGCCCCAGGCAGAGCCCTTGCAAGCAGCAGCTCTGCCCCAGCATGAAACCCCTTCCCTCTGTCACTGCCTCAGGTTAGAGCCTTGGCTCCAGCTCATCCCAGGAGCCTGGCTGCTCCTGCCTGGCAGTTGTAGGCTCCACTGGTGGTGTTGGCCAGGCCATGGGTACATGGCAGCTGGGTAAAGTGGGGTCTGGACTGTGCGTGCCCTCACTCTCTCGGTGCCCTCCCCCGCAGAGGTGGACAGCTGTGAGAAGTGGCTGAATTGCAAGAGCGACTTCCTCACCAAGTACCTGAGCAAGGTGCTGACGGATCTGCCCAGCTGCCCCTGCTCCTACCCACTGGAGGCTGTCTACAGTGCCGTCAACCTGCGGGATGACCAGCAGGGCAAGAGCTTCCGATGGCGGGACGCCAGTGGCCCCAAGGAGCGCCTGGACATCTATAAGCCAACGGCACGCTTCTGCCTGCGCTCCATGCTCTCCCTTGACAGCACCACCCTGGCTGCCCAGCACTGCTGCTACGATGAGCACACCCGCCTCATTACCCGCGGCAAGGGGGCCGGTGTCCCCAACCTCATCAGCACAGAGTTCTCCCCAGAGCTGCACTACAAGGTGGACATGCTGCCCTGGATCCTCTGCAAGGGCGACTGGAGCCGCTACCACGCTGTCCGGCCTCCCAACAATGGGCGACAGTGTGCTGACAACCCCGCTGAAGAGGAGTACCTCTCTCAGCTGCAGGAGGCCAAGGAGTACTAGCCTCAGCCATGCTCAGAGGAGACATGGCCACTGCCAGCTTCCACCCCGGCCCAGCCTGGCAAAGCCCCAGCCCTGCTCATGGGCTCCTCGCTGGTGCCAGGCAGAGTGGAGAGATGCACCGTCCATCTCATCCCCTCAGAGGGTACCTCGGCCCCCCTCAGCTTTCTGAGGCTACCGCAGTGCGATCCCTGCTGTGCCACCCAGGGCGGTCCCACACCCCAGGGTGCCTGGGCTGGTGTGCGGGGAGCCGCAGGGCATGGGAGGTGTAAAGAGAATGGGGGACTGCTCCTGTCTGCTTTTATTCTCTACGATCTTTCAATGCAACCTGAAAGCTGAGCGTGTGCAGGGTGAAATGGCCTCATCTCTTGCTGCCTTCACACCATGTCTGAGGAGCTGGCCTGCTGCAGGCAGAGGTGCCTGCTCTTGCCTGTACACCTACCCTGGCACACACTGGTCTACTTCTGAAATGGGAGGTGGATCCTCCTAGGGAGGGACAGGCTGTCCCAGCCATGCGTACAGAGCAGGGCCTGTTCTCTCCTCAGGTTTTTGCATGCATGGTTGGGGAGGAGCAGGGAGATGCTAAGCAGGATTTCATGGGTCTGGGGGGACAGGAGGAGACTGGCCACCTGGGTTCCCCTGGCAAGAGTGCGTTACCACCACGGTTTTTGCTGTGAAAGGCTATACTGGGTGCTACAGCCAGACATGGGTGGACCTCAGAGGAGGTCAGCACAGGGGGACACCACCTATGTGCATTTCAGCCTCTCCGTCTCAGTGCTTGGAGGAGCAGGGTGGCAGCACCCATGCAACTTCCCACCACCAGCCTGCCTCCACACCTCAACTCCCCAGCAGCCCCCCATCAGGTTTCAGTGCTTGGGAGCACCCATGACACAGCCCAGCAGAAAGTCCTGCATTTCCCACCCACAGCCCTTTCAGGGGCAGGAGGCAGCTCAGCTACCACTTAATGCTGTTGCTGGAAAGGAGCAAAAGGCACCAAGCCAAGATTTTCATGGGGATAGGAACAAGTCGGGTGCTGCTGGGAGCACACAGCATTGCCCCTCTCTGGTCTACTGCTAGCCTTTGGCCCTGCTCCATGCTGTGTCTGCCCAGGTGCCCAGCAAGAGGCAGCCCAGATGAAGCAAATTGTGGGTGCTTCCTGTGCTCCTCAGGCTTGCTGCCTGGCCGGGCGAGCAAGTGTGGCTCCAAAGGAGGAAGACACACATGCCAATAATATCAATGCCTGCTGTCTGCAGATCATGGATCATGATGCTCTCCGTTAGAGCTTTGGTCTTGCCTGGGTTTTATTCAGCTGGCTACCTCAGTGTTTTTCTGCAGGATACCACTGGACAAAAAAAATCTGTCTGAGTGCAGAGGTCCTTGGTTGACTGTCCTGTGCTAGGTCTGTCCTTCTTGCAGGAGCTTTCTCCAGGGCCAGTGAATGTCTACAGTCTGATAGGTCCGTGGAGAGTGTTTGTGGCAGTGTCATATATGTTGGTGTATGTTGATCCTTTTGCCTTGGTTACTGATAGAATATTGCATTCTTGGTCACCAGCATCTAAGACTTCATTGCTGGTAAAACAAAAATTTCAATGAGGTTATCACTGAATTATTCTTATTTAACTATTATTTCCCTAACCCAAATGGTCATTTGCTCACTAGTTTCTGGTAAAGAGGTAGGTCATTAAGAGGTGGTCAGTAGGGGGTGGCAGTGATCTGGTGGCTTGGTTCTGTGTGTGGGGAGGCTCAGCAACAAACATGGAGGCATTTGTATGAGAAGCAGACAAATCAAGTGACTGAGGGCATGGAAGGACGAGCTTTGTTACCTTCTGTGATTTGGCAGAACATCTTCATATTTCCTCTCCCATATCATATGTCATCATTAACATCAGCAGACTCTCAAAGGAGCTTCTTTACCATCAGTGCACGGGCTTCTTTAAAACAACATCCTGTTAAATGTGCCTAGTCCAGTACTGGACTCATGCATGCAAACAGGAGCTTTGCAAACACCCTTTCTTGAAGGAGACTTCCAATAGCTCAGCCAATTTGTTTGTTAGGCTGATTGCTCTCTGAGGAAGTGCTCTTATAATAAGGACTGTTACCCAGGATTTGTACCCTTCTCCTCTTTATACGGGGTATATCAACCAGTCTAACCCCCCCAAAAAGAAACTATTAATTCCTGTAATAAATGAAGTTCCCATCCAAGGGCATGTAGAAAAATGCCTTGCATTGAGCCCCCCCTGCTAAAAGCTGTTTGACAGCTGAGTGGCTGTTCTGCCTCACTGCCTCTGGTTTGGATGATACAGGCATGAACTGGAGCATGAGAAACAAGAAGCAGTGTTGTTCCTCACACAAGCACCTTACACACTGGGAGAAGGAGATACTAAGCAAGTGTTTATTTTTACAGCCCATCAAAGATTCTGTCCAGCCCACTGCTATTTAAGTGATGAATCTCTAAGCTTCCACTCAAGTTTATTGTGGTTTTTTTTATATATAATATATATAAAATGTCTTTTATTCCAACAAAATTTCATAGAGAATAATTCTTTATTCTCATGCTGCAATAAAGCACTTTATATATGTGTGTGTGACTGATGCAACTCAGTTAGGATAGAAGCATACATTGCTATTTGTTTTGGTTGAGAGAGATGACACTATGGTGAATGTTATGTGTCTCGGATCCCCAGCTTCAGCTGTACTGCAAAGACCATGGTAGCTTTGCTTCCTTCCCTTAGCATTTGCATTTGATGGTGTCTGGCTGCAAGAAGTGCAGCTAACATAGACTATCTGGAGCCTACTGCCACAGCCATGGGATAGGTGAAGTTCTGCTCACAGGGAAGGAAGCCTATGAGAAGACCATCAGGGTCAGTGCTGAGAAGCCAGTGCATTGCCTGTTGTCTCAGCCCTGACCCCAAGTTTTATTCCATGCTCAGCGTGGCCAGAGCAGGCTGCCAGCTGACCTTACACCAGCGCCCTGTTTTAAGCAGGTGTTGAGCATGGGAGCAGGTGAAAAAACAAAACCGGCATCATCCCAGCTGGAAAACTGGTTTGGCAAAACACCTCCAGAGCCAACAACTAATGATAGCAGGAGGATTTGCAAAGCTTTCCAGGGATCACAGCTTTTTGTTGCCATTAATTTGCCATGTAAATTGTAACCACTTCCAAGTTCTTGTTATTTCCAGCTGTTTTCCCCCCTTTCTTGCTTGTTTTGTGCTGGCTGCACATCTGTCCAGGGTTATCTGCTACTCCAGAACAGGGCTCTGCTCCACAGCTGCCTGGCGCCATAGCTGGCTGGTCCCTGCCTGGGGGGAGCAGAGAGCTCCTCTCAGTGAAGGATGTTTGAGCTTCCCATTGGTCTTCTGCCACATCAAAAACATTGTTGCATGGAGCCCAAGCCAGCGGGAGCAGGCTGAGCTCCACTGCAGGAAAAGCTGCACAGAGAAAATCACTCTTCCAGGATGGGCAGTCAGCAAGTTACCACTGTGTATATAACATGCCCAACATGCAACAAGGACCTTGCTGTGCTGGATGCTGAGCCCTGCTCTGAAACTCTTGGGCTATAGAAATCCCACAGCTAGAGGATGGAAACAGGAGGAATTGCCACCCTAATTCTGTAGGTGCCCAAGACCTGGAGATGTCACCTGAAGTCATGGAGTCTGTGTCAGTCTCAAGCTGCATCTTTGCCTGCTGCTTTGAACACAAGGCTTCTTGACCAGTTCAGTTGTCTTAGTTTTCCAGCCTGGACTGGAGCTTCATGTGTCTCAGCTGTACCAGTTCCTTGGCATCTGACTTGCAGCTGAGTTAGCTTGTACACAAACTGTACACAATGGTCAGCATGTCCTTGTCCCTGCTGACCTCCCTTCTTGGCCCCAGACAAGTAAGGAGCAAGCTGTACAAAGAACTTTTGACTATGAATGACACCTTGAAGGCATGGGTGCGTGGTCACCTGTCTGGGGGACAGGCAGGGTGAGTGCAGCGCATTGCTCAGGGATGAACAAGAGATTTCATAGAAACATATTTACAGCAACAGAGATGCTGTCTGCTTTTTTTTTCAGGGCTCCTGCTCCATTAATCCGCTGCTTGGAAAGCACACAAAAAGCCCAGCTGGGCCCAGAAAGAGCTGCTTTGAGGGGAGAAGACAGAGGATGATAATGTCAGGCGAGTTTGGCCAAAGTCTGTGGAGCAGACCTGAACTGCAAGGCCTGGCCTTAGCCTAGGAAGGAGCAAAGTGTGGTTGTGATGGTTGAGTTAAAACTGAACCTCTCAAAAGGAAAAAAAAAACACAACCAACAACCAACCTTTCAGTCCTCAACCACTCCTAGACTGTAAAGGGATCCACCCCGTGTGGACACATCAGCCCTCTGGGCTGGGTGTCCAAGTGGCACACAGCCGCCGACTTCTCTGTAGAAGAGTAAAAAAGCTAGTAACAAAAACCTCACACTAGCTGCAGGTTTTTGGCTGTAGCCCTGCTGACCACAGCATGAACACTGGGTGAACAGGAACTTGTAGCAAGACCTGGTCTCCCAGGCTTTGCCTTCACCCTGAGTACAGAGAATCACCCCTGGTGTGTCCCCAGCACCCGGCAGAGCCTGTCATCTGCTCTGCTTTCACTGATGCCATGCAGAGGGATGCCAAAATTGCACTGGGGTAGCCCTGCCCAATGCGTCCACAAGACAGGATTCACTCCCTCTGTCTCCACAGAGGATGGACCCACACATTTGCAGTCGGGAAAGGAATGTCTCACCCTCCTTCCCTGCCATGCAGCAGCCAGCTGGCCCTCGAAATGCCTGAGAGGAGCCCAGCTGGCGGGGCCTGGCCCCTGCTTTGTTCCAGGTCCTTGCAAGCATGTCAGCTATTCTTCTCTCACTGCATGGGAGCCCAGCAGTAGGGATCACAGCCCTGCACAGCTTGACCATCACGCATAGGCCAGGAGCCGCAGCAGAGTCCATCCACCAGCCAGCATCCCCCACCATGCCAGGCTTCTCTGTGCTGTGGGAGCTGAGCAGCAGCTGGCAGGGTGGCCCTGAAATTTCTCAAGAGCCAGGAGAAAGTTGTCAGCCCCACCAGGCATCACAGCTTTTGCACACAGGGGTATACCACAGAAAACTGATTTAGATGGGGTTTCGAGAAACTACACAGCCCCACCACAGGAACATGGTAAATCATTCCTCACTGACAGGTCTCGCTGTCTTCTGGGCTTCAAGCTCTCCAGTGATGGAGATGCCACAGTAACCCTCAGCTTTACTGTTCTTGCAGGGAGAAATAGTTTCCTAGCAGCCACTCTAAATCATTCCTGCTTTATTTTAAGCCCACTGCATCTTAGCTGCAGTAGTCACAGAGAGCATGTTATTGCCTTATTTGCTTTTATCTCTCATATATTTCAGAATTTTATCATTGCACACCCTATTTCCTGCCATCTTTTCTGCTCTAGACTAAACAAATCCAATTCTATCAGGCTTTCCTTAGAAGCTGTACTTCTGGACCTCTGGTCGGTCTCATTGCCTGCCACTGGGCTCACTCCAAGTAACTCACATGTTTCTTGAAGGGTGGAGCCAAAACTGAAGCCACGGCTCTTATCTGGGGCTTTCTTAATTCTGTACAGAAAGATTTCTTCACAAGACCTACAAACCCCAGCCTGTCCAGGCAGCTTTTGTTTTCTTCCATTGTGTTTTAAATTTATGTTAATATGAAAATTCACCACAACCTGCCCAGTTTAAACATCTTTTACAGATTTGCTGCCAAGCCTGTTGCCTCCCCTCTTTTACACATTACTAGTGGTTAAAACCTCAGTGTAAAACTTTGCAATTCAGTGAGGTGGAATACACTTTTTTTTTTTTCCCCTCTCTCCTGTATCACTTTTCCACTTGGTCAAGATAATTTTGAATCCTAAACTTGTCTTCTGAGGGTTTTACAGCAGCAGTGGTGATATAAATTATTTCTGACTTTTAATTATCAAGTATATTATCTTCTATAATGAAACATATTGGATTCATTACAGCTCTGTTAGGCCTTCCCTTATTTACTAATAAAAATATAAAGCGTTGTCTAAAGTCATAATAAACCCCAGATATTCTGTCAAAGAAAGGCATTAG